ATATATATATATGAATAAAGATGACTTTATCTGCAACATAAAAAATATTGCACAGTCACAGATAATCCCTAAACAAAAGAAGCTTTTATTTACCAACATAAATTTCCCCCTAATTCAAACTAAGTGGCAGCAGAAGCTCATACAGGCTAATGTAGCACACATGGTGCTCATGATGGGAACTTACAGTATGTCTTTGACTGGGCATGAAAAGGGATAGAAGCTCATGTTGTATTTCTTGTCATTTTTTAATAATTAGTAGCCTTATGTGTGCGCAAAAACAACTTCCCTCTCCGTGCAAACAACCTCCTCTCTTTTCACACACACACACACGCACTTTCTCTCTCACACACACACACACACACACACACACACTCACACACACATTCACATTCCCTTGCAGCTCCGTCTGCAGACAGAAAGGCACATTTTGTTTATTTAATTGCTGTTAATAATTAAGAAATCGAGCTTGGACCTCGGATATGGCAACACATGTAAACAATCGAATGAATTATTAACTGCGTGCTGGGATGTGACGGAGACTGCGTGATGGAGGCAGATTACCGAGAGAGCCCCGAGAGGAGAGGAGTGTTGGCTGCGTGACTCCCACTGCGTTTCAGGATGTCCTTTCGATGCATATTTATTTATATTTTAATCTTCTATTAGTAAGAATTGGGTTACGGTTCTTTTTGCATAACTATACTTGGGAGTGCTGCTCAGATTATGCGTCGACATAATCGTGTTGTTGCTAATCGTTTTGGGGTTTTTTTTTTTACATAATGCATTTTCACTTTTTTCCTTCCTTCTCTCGCTTCTCTTGCTTTTCCCCAAAGTTGTAAGTTCCCAGAAGGCCACAGTGACGCAGCACAAATCTTAAAAAACAAACATTTTGGGGAGGAGGGGGATGGGGGTGGTATTCAATGCTTTTCTTAATGTGTTCAAATCATTTATGCAGCTCGTAATGTTGTCATCTCAGACTGTTTTCACTGGTGCGACGTTTTAACTTATTCCTTCCCTCTGCCCTCCCCTCCCTCCCCCACCCTCTGCACGCCTGGACGCTGACCCCTGCTCTCCTCGCCTCTTAACACCCTCTCAACACTAAAGTATTACCCTACTCACCTTCTAAACAATGCCTTAGTGGTAAGTCCTGTTTAGTCCCTTTTTTATTCAGCATTAGGTGTATGTGTCTTCTCTTTCTTTTTTCCTTTCCTTTTTTTTAATCTTGGAAAAAGAAACAAAACAAAAACCACTTTTCTCTCCTCCTCCTCACGTAGGGCCTCTCACTCTGACCTGTAGCTGGATTTATTGCAGGAGCGCGCTGATGTTGTTTGGCACACACTTAGCCAGAAATATTTTCACATTATATGCTTTTATTTTGTTAGTGTTTTTATTTATATATATATTTTTAGTTAAAGAAAAACAGCGGGTAATGATCAAAAACTGACCGCAGGTCCAACACTATGAATAAATGACCGCGGCGGTAAAGCCAGATTATAAATCGGCGCTACTTTCCAAATAATACTTGTAACAATCCGCGAGGAAAGGTCGTTTTCCGTGACTTTAAAGAACTTTATTTTCCTGCGGATCTATTTTCGATGTCAGGCTCCGTGACTTATTAGTTTGTCCTCCCGGCCTGAAACGCCACAGTTTCCCCTATCAGCGCTATATTTCTCCAAGAGGATGTATTATATTTTTCTTACGTCACCGCCAATCGGTATCTCGCGTTATCAGAGAGACGCGTTTTCAGTATTTCTTGAGGGGTGGGAGGGACATGAGCTTGTTTATTTTATGTGAACATCTGATAAACAAATGTAATCAATATCTGGACTTTAATGCATTAACTTTAAGTTTACACAAATTTGGTGACCCCCACCCCCCCTCTCCTACCCCCACCCACTTCATCCACTCCCTACACATCCAGGCTGTCTCTCTGTCTCTTCCCATGGTCTGGAAAATGAGTTGGAACAGCTGTTCAGAGGATTAAAATCCGATGGAAGGCTGGTCTGAATAAACAGGAAAATGTTGGATTTTTCAGAAACCTAATGAACAGCGTGTAACCAAGCGTCCACGCGGGACAGCCCATTGTTCACCTGAAAGTTTTGGTTAACACCAATCTGAATGTCTTTACACCAGTTAGGCCCGTGAGTTGTCACCACTGGGCGCCCTTTTCCAGCCAGACTGTATTGCTCCCATCCTTTAAAAGTCAGTTAAGGATTGGTCTTAAATTACTCAGGTGGGCATGTTTCAATCATGTTATTGTCACGTGATCAGGTTCAGTTTTACAGCTTAATTGCTTTGATTCTACACACAGACACACACACACACTCCTAGTGTAATCCAGTAAAGCTATAGAGGAAGAAGAAGAAGTGTGGAAAAGAGACACAGCGGCCAGTAAAGCACTCTGCTTCTGGCCACCAGTCAGAAAAAATGAACTCATAGCTCGTTTGATTGACAGGTAGGGCTGATCTACTGTGCTCTCTCGTCTCCTGGTTGTGTGCGCACATGTGTAACTGGAGTGCTGGACTGGCTGTGCTGGTTGTTTTGTGCTGTACAGGCAAAGCTGGACCCTTTCCCCCTCTTCATGGGATACCAGGAGGTCATAATGTCAGACTGCCTGGGACACTGTGTTCCATTTATAACACACAGTCAGTTACAGGCCCATCCGCCTCGAACCCACAACCGCTAAAAGGCTAAATATTACACACACACACACAAATATCACCTCAGGCCTCAAACAAGCAGGTCACTCTGATAAGACGTTGTAAAACTCCAAATGAGAGCTTAAAGCGTGACATGGAATATTTGCATTGAAAGCGCATGACTTAGAGGTTTATGAAGGTTTCTGTGATTATTGTCAGTCAGAAATGTGACTGAGGGCCACCGTGCGTCAGCGTGCAGACATTTACTGTCGTTTGCAAAGAAAATCAGAGCTCTCTGTGGTGGCAGAGACAAAGACAAGATGAGTCGGGTGCATTTTTGGCAGCAGGGAATATAGATTTGAATTAAGTAGCATGTAGTTTTTATCTCGAGCTGCATGCAGAGAGAGGCAGAACCAACTGCGTCTCATTCAATATCAGCACAGCTGTCCCAGCATCCGTGGAGAATGGATTCCTACTGCTATTGCCATGGGAGGCTCCAGCCAAGAAGAATGGGAGGATATCCAGTGTGTGCGCTCGTGTTTTAAAAGGAAGGCGAGGAGTGAGAGGGGCGAGGAATATGCTGGTGTGTCTGTGCGCACACATGGCTGTATGTTTGTGTGATTTTTGCATGCGTGTGTCATGTTGTCTCCACCCGCCTCACTTTTCCTTCGCTCATGTCACCTCTGGCATGGATTAGTCTCTGGCACAACCCTGGCAGTGCCGGCGGCCCCAATGCGGTTCTGTGGTCGCCGATATGTTGTGCCGTTGCCATGGCTACTGAACACACACACACACGGGTGCTAAATTACATAATTGAGCTAGAATATACAGAGGAACACAAAATACTTAGTGTACAATGTGAGCAGAGAAAAGGGAAAACCACCGAGACAAAGTGTTCCTTTACCAGAATATGAACCGAGAGCTCAAAGCTGACATGCATTGGTGAATATCTAAGAGCTTTGTCATAGCTTAACACATCGGTACAGCGTGTTCTTTCCCTTGATTTTGAGTCATAAATCTACATAAGAGTGCTGCCATTATGCGGATGTTTGAAACAACAGGCAGTTGAGGGAAAGGTGTTTGTGGTGGCACACACGCCAAAAATGTCTGCTTGATAAGGGCGTGGCAGGTGAAGTTTACACAAATGCATCATTCACATAATTCCTCAAGTTCATCTCATTGTCCTCGTCCTGAGCTGTAGATTGGCCCAACTGGATCGTTACGCTACGAATTTAAAATCTTTGAATTGGAAAAGTAGCAAACACCAAATATCCCCCAACCAGGAGTATCAGTAACCCTTACTCCATTGAGTTGCATATTAACCCAGAGTTAGCAGCCATTCGAGCTGCGGTGTTGTACACTCAGGGATGCATATTGTGCCAAAAGTAGAACATGTTGCTTGTGATGCTAGATGGCTGTCTCTACCTGTTTCAGTCATTGGTAGAATCAATATTTCAAAGATGAATGTGGTACCTTAGTTTAGGTTTTGAAACATCCTGGCCACCTTTGACAGATTTGTCAGTAAAAGAAATAATAATAATAATGGATTGCATTTATATAGCGCTTTTCAAGGCACCCAAAGCGCTTTACAATGCCACTATTCATTCACTCTCACACGCTGGTGGAGGCAGCTACGGTTGTAGCCACAGCTCAGCTGGGGCAGACTGACAGAAGCGAGGCTGCCATAACGCACCATCGGCCCCTCTGGCCATCACCAGTACCAGTAGGCAAAGTGTCTTGCCCAAGGACACAACGACCAGGACAGAGAGCACGGGGATCAAACCAGCGACCTTCCGGTTACAAATGTACTTCCCAACCCCCTGAGCCACGGTCGGTGGTCTCTATTTGAAAAAAAGCTTATTTTTTGTCTTATTAGACTGAAATCCATTATGGGCGGGGGGCAAAAAAAATTGCAAAAACAGAGTGCTAATTAAATTGTCAAGCATTTGATTAAAATTTTACTTGATGTGAGGAAAATATTCAGCAGAGCCAACCTCTTTATTCCAATAAAGCCCAATATGAGGCGCAACTGTTTTCTGGCCTCAGGAAGAGCAGATGTTCAAACCTTGGACCTCTAACGGCTTGAAAAGGATCAAGATCTGAACTCTCATGAAGAACTGAGGCATAATTTTAATTTGCATAGCAGCTTTAGTGTATTTATTTGCTGCTATCGCTCCGTTGTTAGTTCATAATTGCATATCAGTTTGACAACAGTGCGTGACATGTTTATGTCGAAGCAACAAAAGAAGTCCAGTAGACAAAACTGTCAGTGCTATAAAAGGTTTTAGTCAATAAAGTCGTGATGCGGATTGTGAAATGAAAAATGTTGTACATTTCTCAGTGTTTAGTTAGTTTTGTCTCGTGTTTAGAGCCACCGACGGCCGACTCAGAAACGTTTCTAAGCGTGCTTTGTTCTTGTGTTGAGTAAATTTGAACGACTGCCAGTATCAACACACGGCGCGAACGTTGACAGTAATTCATTCTCTGCTCTTTCTTTTTAATCAACAGCATTTCCGTGAAAAGACAATCCGAGTGATATTGAAGTTCTTTTGTGCCCCACAAAATAGAAACGAAAGGCCAAAACCCGCGAGTGGGGCGAAACAGCCGCTGGATCAGTCTGTCACAAGTCAACAGGAATAGATAGAGATTTGTTTTGCGGATCATTGACAGCCCACTCAAGGTCACTTCAGTGTGGGCAATCTGGGCATGTTGTTTGGCCTGTCCTGCCTGTCTGTCTGACCTACATCTCACTGCTCTGGCTAAATATATACAGTGGACCCCTCATTACAAAGCTTCCAGATTAATCTGGATGAAATCTGAGCACCGTTCTCCCCCGCCGTGTCTGACTGCAGTCTCTCTTCACAGACCTCCACAGGCTGACTTTCTATCTCACCCAGTCTCTCAGACACTAATATTCAAAAACTAAAGAAATAAATGAAGCTGGCAGATGAAGGCTTTCATACAAATGTGGCACACACTTATGCGTTATCATCTTGTAAATAAGATAAAAGCCACAAAGGCTTCTGCTTCTTCAGAAACAAACGTCTACACGTACAGTACAGTATTTCTGCGAATTCAGTCCTAATGTCGGCTATATACGCTATGTTTTGCTGGGCTTCAAGCCTGAAGCACCTGCACATACTTAATTACACAAGACACAGGTGTGCATTCTTTCAGAAAAAAATCCCACCGATCACGCCTCTGTTGTTGCAGCAGACTGTTTACTGTATTTAATTAACCACAGTATTTAAAAGTAGTCACACAGTCCTGTGAAATGAACTCCAGTACCCTTTTAGTGATACTGCCCCCCGGCCTAGACATGTTTATTTAGAAACACATTTAGTACTGCTGATTTTATAAAAGGGGATGTTACTGCTTTAATTTTGATAAAAGAAGCAAAATATCAGTCATAATCCATCTTTTTTGGCTAATTTATCCAGTTTATTTTTGGCTAGCTTATACGCTTTAGCTAACAAGTCCAGTCATTTTTCTAATGGTTTT